GGGGGGGTGTATGCAGTAATGCGGGCGCTGTACCGGTCTGTCGTGATGAAGAGAGAGCTGAGCCTAAAGGCGAAGCTTTCAATTTATCGGTCGATCTACGTTCCCACCCTCGTCTATGGTCACGAGCTTTGGGTAGTGACCGAAAGAACGAGATCGCGGATACAAGCGGCCGAAATGAGTTTCCTCCGCAGGGTGGCTGGGCTCTCCCTTAGAGATAGGGTGAGAAGCTCGGCCATCCGGGAGGGGCTCGGAGTAGAGCCGCTGCTCCTCCACGTGGAGAGGAGCCAGTTGAGGTGGCTCGGGCATCTGATCAGGATGCCTCCTGGTCGCCTCCCTGGGGAGGTGTTCCGGTCTCGTCCCACCGGGAGAAGGCCCAGAGGAAGACCCAGGACCCGCTGGAGGGACTATGTGTCCCGGCTGGCCTGGGAACGCCTCGGGATCCCCCCGGAGGAGCTGGCCGAAGTGGCCGGGGAGAGGGAAGCCTGGGTTTCCCTGCTCCGGCTGCTGCCCCCGCGACCCCACCCCGGATAAGCGGGGGACAATGGATGGATGGATGGATGGATGGATTGATAAGAGTATACTGCTTTCATACAGGATTTTGTTACACACCGTATATACATGGATATGTAAGTCTGCGTGTATATGTGCATATATATTTACTTATACTCTCATCTTTGATTTATGTATGTTATATTCTGAAAAATTAATAAATATATATATAAAAAAAAACAAAAAAAAACTACTACCCATGTGGAGGCCAAACTCACCATTTTTAAGATTATGAAACTGATGCTCCGCCTGAACAGCAGAGAAGGGGGACATAAGGTGAGAGCGCAATCCACAATCCAGGACAAAATGGTGTTTCCACATGGTGAGACCACTATGCTGCCGCCTGTGGCATGAATATCTTCTTCACTGCCAAAAGGCCATGAAATAAGATGGAAATGTGGGTCATCTTGTGACAGTGTATACAAGGGATATGACACATTAAAATACCTGCCCCGTGTGAGGGTCGAACTCAGGACCTTCAGATTATGAGACTGACGCGCTGCCTACTGCGCCAACGAGGCCTGAAAACCTGAACAAGGCCAAAAGAGGCCAGAGCCAAATCCCCAATCCACGACAAAATGGTGCTTCCAAATTGTGAGACTGCTATGGTGCCATCTGTGGCATGGATATCTTCCTAACTGCCAAAAGAACATGAAATGAGCTGGAAATGTGTATCATCTTGTGCCAGTCTGGACCAGTGGTATGAAACCCTAAAACTACAACCGAGTGTGAGGTTCAAATGAAAAACCTTGCCATTATTAGACTGAGGTGCTGCCTACTACGGCCTGAATAGCAGAGAATGGTCACATAACGTGAGGGGGCAATCCCAAATCCAGGAGAAAATGGTGCTTCCACTCTTCCAAAAGACCATAAAATGACTGGGAAATGTTGGGCCAGAGTGCCCTCATATGTATATGAGGGATCCTACACAATAAACCACTGCCCCGTGTCAAGGTTGATCTCACAATTTTAGGAACATGAGGCTGACGCGCTGCCTACTGCGCCAACGAGGCCTACAAACATGAGAATGGTCAAAAGATGACACAGCAAAATCCCCAGTCCAGGACAAAATGGTGCTTCCAGATTGTGAGACTGCTGTGCTGCCAACTGTGGCCTAAATATCTTCCTCACTGCCAAAAGGCAGTGACAGTGACATAAGCAGGA